CGCGCACATACACGGACACACACACACACACACACACACACACACACGTACACACACACGCGCGCGCGCGCACGCACGCGCACACACACGTACACGTACAACATGTGGCGCTCAAACCTTGAACCAAGCACCGCACAAAATCATCGAAACAAATCCACTTTCCCCAGTAGTAAAGAAACGCGACATGACAGGCCCAAGGGGAGATCTTTGCGCAAATTCACTCGCCAACTAGCTTTCCCGCGACTAAAACCTTTTTACGGGCATCCGCGAAAAAAACAATTAACCAAGGAGACGAGAAAGACGCCGTATAGAAAAGGTATGCTGGTCACGTGGGCACTGTGAATCACCTGTGACATTCGGCATTCTAGAAATCTTTGATCTTGCTAAATGCACAGCACGAGATCCCGTGCCTCGCACAGCCTGCTGCTGCTTTTTTTCTACCTGCCGTCGCGCTTTCCTTTCTACGCTGAGAAAGCTGAAAATACTATCGGTGAAATCCTTCAGGTGTGAGCTATTCTCTGACTATAGTCCGCCGTATGCATTATCCCGCCCCGTACGTGTGCTTTTGTATATATCGTTGAAGCTGTTACAACCTCCTGAAGTTGTACACAGTTGCAATGGTCCGATATATGTATAGATTCCCGTGCATCCAGAAGGTCTCGTGAAAGAAGTCGATGCATTTAATCAAAAATCAATGCTTCGAATCGTACTTTCTGCGTGCGGCGCACGCGAAATATAACCAATTAACTCGCATGTTGCCCTTCGTAGCATTGACGTCAGAGACGCAAAGTCCTGGGTAATAATCCGTCACGTGACACGACGTCAAAATCTGATTAGTTGATTGAGATTTTCGGATCGAATTTTCACTTGGCTTGACGACTAAGTCAATAATTACAAGCGAAATCTCATGAAACGCCCGCCATACCCGACGTTTCATCTCTCTTGTTTACACGTTACTACATTTTTTTCTCATTTCGTCTCTCGTTTTCTCCGTCTCTCCCTCGCTTTTTTTCTCCCCTCTCTCTTTCTCTCACTCACTCTTCCTTTTTCCCACTGTCTCGATCTCTTCCTTTCGCTCTCTCTCCCTCGCTTTCTTATTCTCTCTCTCTCTCTCTCTATTTCCCACTTTTCCTGTTTTTTATTTCTGCCTGTCTTCACCGCACGCGCGCTCTCTCTCTCTCTCTCTTTCTCATTTGCTCTCTGTCTCTCTGTCTCTCTCATTCGCTCTCTGTCTCTCTGTCTCTCTCATTCGCTCTCTCTCTCTCTCTCTCTCTCTCTCTCTCTCTCTCTCTCTGTCTCTCTCATTCGCTCTCTGTCTCTCTGTCTCTCTTATTCGCTCTCTGTCTCTCTGTCTTTCTCATTCGCTCTCTGTCTCTCTGTCTCTCTCATTCGCTCTCTGTCTCTCTGTCTCTCTCATTCGCTTTCTCTCTCTCTCTCTCTCTCTCTCTCTCTCTCTGTGTCTCTCATTCGCTCTCTGTCTCTCTGTCTTTCTCATTCGCTCTCTGTCTCTCTGTCTCTCTCATTCGCTCTCTGTCGCTCTGTCTCTCTCATT